AAAATTAATTTTAACCTTAGCGTTCCCGTTATGCCCCGGGTTCCCCTATATATTTTATGCGACAGTAATCGTTTACGTTACATTAACATAATCATTTTTTGTACATGTTAATCAACGACATTTATAAAAAATATTATACAACACGTTATATGTCGCTGTCATATGTCGGGACGGAGCCGATAGTCCAATGAGAAAATTGATTTTTTGAAAAGAAACCATCGGCCTGTCCCGACATCTGACAGCGACATACAACGTATTGTATAACAGGCTTTAAGGAGGCAGATACCGCTAAAAATAAGACAATTTTCAAGAATTTTTTAAAGAATAGCTCAACAGATTTATTTGAAATTTTTAGTATACTTTATACTACATTTAAAAAATACAAAAAATCATTTTATTTCAAAATCCTTTTCTCCCTTGGAGCTGAAGAATCAAATTCTTTATAGTGATTGCATTCATATTAATAATTGGCGTGCAAAGCCTTCTGGTTTTGTCTTAGACCAAAAAATGAAAGAAATTCACTTTTTTAAATAATAGTACGCTATGGATAAGCCTAAATTCAATTTTTTTAAATGCTAAATTAATAGTAATATAGGATTTTTTAAAAAAAGCTATAATTTTTATGAGAAATTTTTATTCTTTTTAATACAACAAAAATTATTTAAATATTTAATATCATCAAACAAATAGGTTTGTCTAGAAGCTAATTCAATTAGGTAGGTACATGTATGCATAGACGTAACATGGTCGATCGAATAGTTTTTTGTGCTATGCTGCACGTCAATTTGAAAAAGTGATTTCGAGAAAAACGCGTTTAAAGTTGTCAGTACAGAAAAGTGAAGGTTTTTGGAAACTTATTAACCTCTGATGCTAATCTGCTATTCCCACAAAGTTGAGCCTCTGTTTCAGGTGTTCCATAACATATGGTATTCCATCCTAATGGTGCCTGCGAAACTTATTGTGTGTGCAAGGGACGAAGCGGATGCGCCGTGCGTTGTCTGACTATCTGACTGATTGTGAGTTCAGAAGTTAATAGACTTGCATCTTTTCCGTAAAGATACAGGTTGACTGGCTACACATTTCTCAGAACTAGAGGGTCAATTCTGTATACATATGTCTAATAAAACTTCTGCCTGCGAAACTTATTGTGTGTGCAAGGGACGAAGCAGATACGCCGTGCGTTGTCTGACTATCTAGAGTTCAGAAGTTAATGGACTTGCATCTTTTCCGTAAAAGGTTGACTGGCTACACATTTCTCAGAACTAGAGGGTCAATTCTGTATCTCATAATATAGTGAAAATGCTAGCTTAGCCTAATCAGCAAAGCCAAGAAATTTTAAGAAACACGAAGAAAGAATATAACTTAAGATAAAGTACAATGCAGAAAGAATAAAATAGAGAGCTGCAATCGGAAAGAAAGAGGAACTGAAGAAGAATGATAAGAGAAAATGCCGAAAGTCCCAGACATTATCTTTTTTTTCCCTTCCTTTGTTCTGTAGTTTGTCCGTTTTCGTCCGTTCTGAGAATATCCAAAAATTCTTACTAGTGTTTGCGCGCTTTCTTTTTTAATCACGTCAAATTATATGTCGAACGAAATCGAGGAACGGGGCGCGTCCCAGTCTTCAATGTATGTTTCTCACGAGGGGACATTAACGAGATCGGTAGCGAAAACGCTGCAGGATTGTCAGACGTGTGTCCGCGTGCCGGTTTGTAGCGTGATTGCGAGCCACCGGTTAAATTTCGACATCGACAAAATATCTCAGCCCGCCGATATTAAAAAAACGCTTTTTATTAAAGCGCGAGGCGAGCCGCGAGAAAATGTCCACCCTGTGGAAATGGAGCGATACTTATTCGCACGCACTTCGCTCGTATTTTACGCATTGGCGTATTTTTACCACCATGCGTTCCCAATACGGGGACGCAGGCCGTTAAAATGTCAAACGCGATCACGCGTTCGGAGATGATTTTACATAAACCGCGCCGCCCCTTCGCTTCGCTCTTTCTGCGTGTCTCTCTCTCTCTCTCTCTCTCTTCCCCTGTCTCTTTCTCTTTCGCTCTTCTTTTTCTCGCATCGGATTCATGAAATTCCGTCAGCGTTATGCAACACACTTTTTTATCTCACAATGTAGCGGCCTTGGATGAACTATAAGCGCACCGCTCACCTACTGCCGAAATTGGCTCCGTTTCCTTCTAGTAATTCTCGAACGCACAAAAACGTTGAAGACGAAAAGGAGAAAAAGACAAATTCTAGGGATTTCTCTACAAGAAATAGAAAAGGTTGAGGTTCAGAAACGAACGATGCATTCGTGAAGGCCTCTTCCTGCTTCTCGTCCAAGTTATCATATTCATGTATTTTCAACATCATTAAGATATGCACGAATCGTATTGTGTACATAAATATAAATATAAATACATAATCAATGCGACTTGTAGGGGAATCAATCGATCTTACTTTGCTTGCCAGATTTATTTCCCCAATTCAGATTGATTGTTGGTCGTGCAACAAGGTGGACGACATTCTTAATATTGACAAAATGCACACAGGAATAAATTAGTGACTTTTACTAATTACAAAAAATACTGCAAGTCAGTTTTTTACGATTGCAGTGGTATAATATAATTAATTCAGGTAATTGAATTTTTTAAATCCATATAACATTTGGACAAATGTAAGTGCATAAATGCAGCTTACATAATACATGTAAAATTGAACGAAACAAAATGCTAATCGATTCTCACGTGGATACGATCGGTTGACTTTCTTGACAGATTACATCGCGATATTTAGCCGAATTTCTATTGGTCGATGAAGAAATCCAAGCGATACGGGCCATAAAAGACCTTGCTCTAACATACTTTCAACTTTGTGCCGGGCAATAAAAAAAAAGAAAATAAACCACAAAACGCCTCTTCCTGCTTCATTGAGCCAAGCCTTGAAGCAACGGTTCTTCAAACTTTCTGTTCTTCACTGTGGCAGGCCAGTTGGCGCTCGACCGAGAAAAGGCCACACGAAGTTGCGTACCGAAGCGCGAAGTAAAAGGGCCCTTACTGGGGCAGCATGCGCCACGTGTCGCGGTTGAGACACCTGGGACACCAGTGCGTTTTTCGCGTGTACGACATTGCAGGAAATGCGCCATTATCAATGCACGTCCCCGGGACGCACTGGCGGCCGGCTGAGCTGACCTTACGTAACTTGTGCGCGGTTTGGGGCCACTTGACTCTCGTGTCATTAACCTTACACGGCGTAATGTACCTACTCGACGACGATATTTCGTTAGAAACCCAGAACGCGCGAGTTTCTCTTATGTAAGCGCGCGCCAAGCGCTCGGTCTTCTGCGGTGCCACGTGAATCTTACGTACCGTTCATACGAGTTAACTCGCGGTATTATTGATGATAGACCAATAACTAATTGCCCCGACACACCTCCAAATTTTTCTTATTTTCACAATTCCGGGAATCGTTGAGATTTTATGCGTGAAAATGTCAAATTATTGACTGTAGCCGACAATTACGCTCAAGCGGTATAAACCGCTAATTTTAGCTCATAAAAACAGCAATTGCAACCAATATTTAACAGATATGAACTGGACAAAGTACCTTTAAATTTATTATTTAACATTCAAATAGGATTTGTAATTGTCACGAGAAATTTTCGGTAAAGGGCAGAGCAATTTCTCGGTTTCTTTTTAATTTGTCGTTAATTACGGCCTCCTCTTTAATCACTCGATTAAAGTAGCCAGCGAGATCGGATCTATGCGCGATTAATTTTAACTACAGTAGAATACGACTGACTGTACGAATTGACAAAAAATATGTCCTACCAATGCGAGACTGAGCTGATGAGTGGAAGAGAAAGCTAGGCCCATCTCAGTCCTCTTTCGTAGGCCCCGAGCAAAAGTCCTCCAAGTATTAAGCAGCGACAGGAAGGGATGAGCGCGCGATCTCAGAGATCAGAGTCGAAGGCCGATGTTGTATGCAGCCGAAGAGCCACAAGTTTTTTTACTCATCCACCATAAGAATCCGGTTCCCAAGACTGCAGTTTCCAGACGAAATTTTTCGCGGGAGCGATCGATAAAGAATTCCATTTTTTGGAATATTCGACCGATGAACGCTCGCCACCGTTACGAGTGGTAATGCACGCCTTCTTGGCACATCTACAAGCGAAAAGTTTAGCAATATTGTTGTACACTTGAACACCGTTGTTTCGTCACACAATAGAATTGCGCGCGAATATGAATATTATTATTTTATTAATTCCCAAATGAAAGGACCGTTTTAAGTTTGCACCGCGTTTCGAAATCTTTTCGGGATCTGATCGAGAGAATTCCTTTTTCAATGAATTTTTGTCAATAAAGTAAACGCCAATGTAGTGGTAGGCATGAAAGTAGTGTATATGGATCCCCCCATCTTATGCGAATTGGTGAAGCCAGCAAAATTGAGAGAGAACGAGAATAAAGGTGCTCTCATGTTGCTGTGTTCACACGTAATGTTCTCCGGCGTAACGTCTTTGGTACGTGCCGTTGTCGAAGATACAAGAGGGCACTCTGGCCACGTGGTAATTGAGATCGGAGAAATTATTAAAACTGTCAAAACTGTCTATGTGTTAAAAGCCCCGCCGAAGACTATTTTACATAGGTCCATACGTGTCTATGTCCAAGGTGGTAGGGAAGAGTGAATTAAATCGGACGATTGTCTCAATTTAAAATCTTTATTTTAAAAAAGAAGAACGTCACATGTTCTTCGCTGTCGACGACGAGTGAACACAATGCGGCTTTCCGTAATCGATGCGTGCTATGGTAAGACTTAATTAACGCCCTATATCGGATACTTGAGCGAGGGAGCTTAGCACGCGCGGCGTCGATCCTGTGGAAGCAGTTCAGTCGTCGTGTACGCTCAAAAAGTGAGGTACACGTCTCGGATTCGAGCTCCTAGGCCGGTATTCATAGTCGGACCTTAATTCAAGATCGTCTTAAATGTTTCAGCAACGTTTTTACATAAATTCAATTCTTGAATATAAGATCTGACTACCGGCCCTAATCTCGGGATCGAGACCGAGAAGCATCGCCGCGCGGCCTCTCGCCGCCTTTTAGGATGCACAGCCTGGGATATCTTTGGGAAATCGGATTGCTCGACGTCACAATGATACGTCGACCGTACATCCCGAATCTCTTAGATTCACAGCCTCAGCCCGCGCTTGCACCCAAGCTCGTAGCGACGGACCGACATTGGTCCGATTGGTTTGACACGTGATTTTTCTTTCTTTTTTTTTCCATAATTTCCGAACGGTCGCCGCGCCGCGCCGTGTGGTCATCGCCGAATGGCGAGTGTCGCAATGGAATCTCACAACGGCGACTTTCACGAAAATCGCTCACGGGCCTGGCCCGTCTTGTCCGACCGATTCGTCTCTGGACTGACCGGTGCCCAGTGCGGTCGCACTGCTAGACGAACCGCTAGAAATATCAATGACACCGCGCTATTGGCGCGAGCAGTCTCAGGTGCAAGGGCAGTCTCGCATTTTCCTCGCATTCGTCGATCAACTATATCAAATACTTATTAATAATAGTGATGTTCATACAGCAAACACACGCTCTCCCTCTCTCTCATTCATTCATTGTCTTTCTCTCTATCTTAACAATGAAGTACTATTATTATCGTGAACGAAAGAGGAGCAACGGCCAAAGTGAACCGCTTTCCTCGTCCGCCCGCGGAGATCTACGACGAGTCGACGGCGTTCGGGATCGTGATCGGTGTCGTTGGATCGCTTTCGAAGTCATTAACGTGAGAAACCAAGAGCTCTCGAAAGACGACACTCGATGCGTGCCATGATTTGGTATAATACGGCAGAAAGTTATTCATCAAACGCGAAATCTTGGTTGCACTTGAAGCCATTAATGTCATTAAAGTGATATCTCCAACTTGTTACGCACGAAATCGCTGCACGAAACCGTCCAAGACACACCGAAATCCCGTCGATCTCGCCGAACTAGACTAAGCGCGAATAAATACGAGGCGAGGAGCAAGGGTGAACGGGAGCAAAGTAATATTTGCAAAGCAATAAATACTTATGAACGATTGAAAAATTGGAGTGGAAAAATGAGTTCGGAATGGCATGAGTAAGGAGGAGAAAGAGATATTATAAGGTAAGTTCCTTTTGTACTCTAACCGAAGAGGACTTCCGTATTCCTTCGACGTGAAATTTGCTGGTTTCACTTCGATCAAACAAGTTACCTCCGCAGTCGAAAACTACTTATCTATTATTATTACGGTCCTGGCGCCAGTAAAATGACTACTTCGAATTTTTTTACGGAATTATAACGGTATCACAATTAGCTGCTCGCGTGTGATATTCGCGTCACTACATGATTGACTATTCATTTTTTTTTTTCATTATCAAATTTCTTCTTGCTTGTGATTATTTAATCTCGTATGTGTATGCGCAGTAAAAAGAAGATACCCTTTTGATATGGCAAGATCATGAATTTTTTAAAATTGTAAAAAATTGTAAATTTTTAAATCGTAGATGTGCCATTAAGGATAAAAGTAGAAATTCTCTCCCGGATTCTATAGAAATTACGTGAACGATCATTTTCTGAAATCTGAGGCTCTATGTACAAGTCTTCTTCCTTAATGCCTGGACCTCAGTTTTACTACAATTCACATGTTCATAATTTTTATTCCCATCTATGCATCAGACTGTAAAAAGTGATTTGTAGAAATGAGTAAAATGACAAAAGTACAGGTCCAGGCGTTAATGAATAAGACTGTACTAGAACTAGTGTATTAGTGCGATTAGAACTTTAAATTTCAGAAAACGATCGTTGACGTAATTTCTAGAGAGAATCCGAGAGAGAATGCTTAGTTTGCAAACGCGTCACTTATTAATTTTTCGCAGATACAGATATTATAGATTTATTCTACCGGAAAATGAAAATTAATTTAATTAAAATTTTCATTTTTCAACGAAATAAATCTATAAGCTATTCAGCTTAGGACAGTGTCTCAAGACTTGCAGCAAATATTTGATTTCACGTGAAAGTTCGATAAATCGTGAACGTTCTACCGTTCTCCGAAAGGTAACGTACAATTAGATATTCTTACAGGTCTCCATCTCGGCTGATGCGCGCGTGCGTTAGCGTGGATGAACCCCCATGGCGTCAGCACACGATTTACGGTTTCTCTTCTCTTTGTTCACTTTTTCTGCGACAATAGGAACCGTGCCCGTGCTCTGGAGTCCGTTGAGGACACTTAATTACCATTTGGACGCAGTCTGACGTTGGCGTAGTCTCCCAGATCAAACTCGCCCTCTCTCAGTGCTAGGCGAACCTCAAAGCGCTCCGGCGTCATTGTGACACCGAAGTTGCCACGTAGACTGGGCAAAGTGGCGCCTTCGGGCAAGCTCAGGTTAAACGTGTGCATCAGCGAGCTGAAGAACATAAAGATTTCCATGCTTGCCAGTACTTCGCCGAGGCATACTCGTCTACCGACTCCGAATGGCATGAAGTTCTTCGGCTTCTGGAATTTACCCTCCGGGTTAATAAAACGGCTAGGTCGGAAGTCTTCCGGTTCGTCCCATCCATATGCCTCATTCATATGCACTGTGTAGAGTAGCGGTATCACGTGAGTACCAGCTGGTATCGTATAGCCACGGAAATTCACGTTCCTGCAACATTAATTAAGCAAACGTTTTTATTAAGATTCCAACTAACCATAGCGATTAATCGATTAATAAAATTAGTCGATCTTGGAGAGGATCAGGATGTGTTTTTGTTTTATGACTAATATAAGTACGTGCCATTTGATAAAGGTGCTTCGTTATCAGTAATTTTCTTAAAAAAAGGGGGGAAATATAATACATGTAAATTTCGCGAAAAGTTTAATTGCTGTGCTTGACGTTTGATAATCGCATATTTAAACGGTCACGGGATATTAATCCGTTGGTGAAGTCAAGCGCCGACTTGGCTTTTTACACGCACGCACGTGCGCTCGTCACGCTCTTTCTGGCCGCGTTCTTCGCGAAGAAGTGAAACCGCGCCCGCCCGCGCTGTTTCTAACGGCGACCACTGCTTTCATGTGTGATCATTCCTAACGAGTATTCTCAATATATCCGATCCACCTGTCCCGTTTCGAACAGGCTCTTTGTATAAGAAACGGTGTCATCGACCTCGGGCGCCTCGGTCCAAATGGCGGGGCGACCCAGTCGAAATGCAGACAGAGGGGCCGCCACCTTTTGCTTTCACTTTTGCTTTCCGAATATGATCGTGCGCAAGCACACACGGAAAGCCGAGGAGGAAGGTGAGGATTCGTTGTGAAATACGACCTTAGTCTGTGTGTACGTGAAAAGAAAAAGAGGAAAGGGCCCCCCCCCCCCCAAGGGACAAAAATGGATGGCGACAACCTATTTATCAAAGGATCGTACTATAAGTCGGGAATGTGGTGGAAACAGAAATAGAGAAATTCATTAAGGTTTACCGTGTAGTAGCGTGAGTAGTTCCAAGCGGTACGATATGTGATTTCCGAATAATCTCATGAATGGTGGCGTTGGTGATCGGAAGCGACTCGGAATCCTTCAGCGTGGGCAATCTGGATCGTCCGACGACCGCGTCCAATTCGTCCTGCACCGCCTTTGCAGCTTCTGGGTAGTGCAACATGAAAACTACGCACCACTCCAGCGTAGTTTTCACTGTTTCCATACCAGCGGAAAAGAGATCGCCCATAATTTGTTGCATTTGTCGATCTGCATAAAGAAACAAATACCAGCCGTTCAGACAAGAGCGTCCATATTAAGTATAAATTATGTAAAATAATTATATTTTGAAAAAATCGGTTGAAAAAGAAATTGACTTTTCCACTCACCAGCATCTTTTCCCTGGAAAAGTTCGTGTTCTCGATTCTCATTCTTGGCTTGCTGAATTCCGTGCAGATAGGTATCGACGATATCGCGAATGTTATTCTCGTCGAAATCCGCTCGGTGCTGGTTAATAATGTCTTGGAAGAACTTAACCATTTCCGATCGATTCTGCTCGATCTTACTTCGGGTGGTGTGGATCCACGGTAAATAGCGCAATGCCGGTATAGAATTGGCATAATTTAAGCTACCGAAGAGTATGAATCCTTCGTCAATAAGGTTCATCAGTCCCCTGAATCTCCAGTCGTCATGATCGAAGCGCACGCTCATTGTGAGCGAGCAGATAACGTTGCTGATGGACACAGCAAGAGCGGGTGAGATGTTTGTGGGCACCTTGTGTTGCGCCGCTCTCCTCAGCACTTGCAGGAATGTACGTACTTCGTCCTAGATCAAGATATGGTATTGTTTATTCCAGATGGAATTGGGGATTAAATTTTTCGACAATTAATTTTCTCACGCGATAAAAAATATTATCAATATGACATTCACAAAACTACTTTTATATATCGTATCTAAGCACAGAATATTGCAAATGAAAGAAAAGCACAAATTATATATCTCCTTCGTATTACATTGTTAAATTATGTATCACATTTTTAAGAAATCGCGCAAAGAGAGACGCTTCAATACGCCTTGTTAGTTTTGCAACGCTCGTTGTAAATCAACAGATTACGGATTGTTAATGCAAATTCGATACGCACCTGGATTCTCTGTTCCATTTCGTCTTTGTTGCTACCGCTTTTCGTCATGCCGAAGCGCCTGAGATTTTTGTGAAGGAACATTCTCTCACTTCGCCACAAGCTACCCTCCGTATTGACGATGCCTGCAACAGCAACGAGAACGATGCTGAGCCACGGAAACTGCGATAACTCTTTCATATGCAGCGCGTCATCTGCGGATTCGTTTTGTTTTCAAGGTAACGATCTGTTCGCGGACGATCGATTGCAACACCTCGAAGCACGCGTTTACCATTGACCGAGAAGCAACCGCGGAAATTCATAGTCGTGACCGATCGGAAATACGACGGTTCGGAAAATCGTACAACGATTACGGAAAAGAAGCCTTCACATCTGTCAAGTTTTCTTCCCGCTATCAGAATTTCGTTAGTTTCGCCAGTTTTATTTGGCAAACGCACACTGAGAAAAATATCCGATTAAATAAAATCGGATAGTTCAATTACATAATAACAAACGGATGTGTCCGAGGAAAAATATAATCGGTTTTTCGATCAAATTTCACCGGATGTATTCATAATTTAATCGGGAAACGTAATCGAAAAAATTAATCGTCGGAAACACTAGTTGGTTTATTCGATGAAAATTTCTCTCAGCGCAGAGATAAGTGTTCCGATATCAGTCAGTATTGAGAGTAATCCCGATGCACGGCACGTGCGCAGAACTGCCAATAAAACCCGATGAAACGTGGAGTCGCGCGAAAGACGAGCGGAGTCGGCGGAGTGCTTTAACCCGCCCCGGTGATACGGAGGAGAGTGTGCTAAAGAGTAGCGAGATAAAGCGTATTATTTGCCCGACACTTACCGTATCCATCGATGATGTTCATGAAGTCGGTGTGCGGTCTGCCAGAAAACTCTTTGAGGTTGAACGCCTCGCGTATGATGCTGGGATCGCTGATGACGACGGCCAGCTCGGAGCCCAGGCGGACGCTGAATACGCTACCGTACTTCTTAGCTAGCCTGTCGTAACATAGGTGCAAGTCGTCCTTGATAAACGGTATGTAGCCACAAATCGGCAGTCCCCATGGACCGGGCGGCAAGTGTCTTATCTTCCGTATTCGGTCAAATACGAGCTTTCCCACTAGGAGCGCAATGAGAAGCAAGTAAATTGCCGGGATACCGATGCTACCCATCGGGCGCAAGAGGTATTGTGCGACTTGATTCACCAACATCTTGTTTCGCGTGCGCGCGCGCGCGCGATCACGGATCTCCGATTGATCAAAGATCCGTGATATCGAAGCGCCCGTCTTGAAACGTCTGCCGTTGCGCGGTTATCACTGACTGGTTATAACCGTGCCAAGTCTTTATATTCGTACGTTTCTCTTAGTCTCTCGATACAAAAAGAGGCAGATCAGTCTGCTCGGATGTATCTGTTCAACTGTGTTTTTATATCAAATGCTGCCGCGACGAAGGGTGAACTATGAGGGTGTGACGCCTCAAAAAGAATAGCAGCCAATAAAGGCAGAGGAAGATATAAGAAGAATCAGAAGGGACCAACTTAGGCGAAAAGAAGGAGGAAGAGAAGAGAGAGGGAAAAAAGTCGGTCACCGCCGCAGCCGAATTCGCCGCCGCTCGTCACGTTGTGAACTGCGTGCAAGCAACGGAAAGCTTGAATATCAACTAAAATAATACTGGATGATTGTATCTTATATAGCTGTCATCAGTATGTCCCCCAGCAGTCCCTTGCCACAATGGAGGGGTGGCCGACAGAGAGTGGAACACCGTGGGAGGTGGGGTCGGCAAATCAAGTGGGGGGGATAGCTATTCGATCGGGATGTTTCGTTTGCGGGGGATGTGCACTCCGATGAATGTGAGGGCGTATCTTGGGCCTGAAGACTGGGGCCCCCGGTTGGCTGGAGACCCACGAGGTTGTCCTAGGATGTGGTGGGGGTATCGCAGGCCTTCTTTAATTCTCTTCTATGGTGGGAGATGCCGGGTGGGAGAGATACTGACGAGAGAATTAAAGAATATGAAGAGATAAGAAAATTCAATTGAGCGACGCTGTGACGTATCGCACCACGTATCGTCATCGATGCCGTCACTTGCGTTTGAAAAACATCAAGATAGATGAAGTGGTTTGTGGAGCTTTGCAAAAATTCATATTTGCTACTCATTTCTCATCTATTTATTATATGACTTATTGCATAAACCAACTTGTTGTCGGAGCTCACCTCGGTTCGAAAGCGGCTCTTGAATTTTCTAATGTCCGCATCTGATTTCTTACTCGACTAGAAATATAAGTAGAATTATTATACGGCCGATGTTTACGCCAGATACACATTTTGAAAAGCAGGAAGGAATATTATTGTCGCCGGCTGTTGATTGACAAAAGAGAAAACAATTATTAGACGACTTAAAGTGGACAAATTGTTTATTTAATTTCAAGAAAAAGAAGGAAAGTATATTAAGTAATTAGTCAAAAGTATAACACTTAAAAAACGTTGTTATTCATCTCTGGGATTAGATCATGAATCTTTTCCTCCAGCGTGAACTCGTGAAAAGTGAAAAATTTTATTAAACAATATTGAATTCGTCAATGAAATGTTTCACTTTTCACGAGTTCACGCTAGAGGAAAAGATTCATAATCGAATCGCTGGACATCGGTCGGAAAATTCGATGGTACGTCTAGCCGACACAATGGCCATAGTAGGACATGATGTGTCGGCTAGATGCATCGAAACGTCGGAATAATTTATCAAATAAAACATTTGGCCAGTTTAAGGTCGTCTAATAATTTTTCTCTTTTTTTATTTTGAAAAACATTGAGAAAAATCGTTTGCTTATTTAATGTTGGTCAGATTTAATGTTGCACTGAGAAAAAATATCCGATTAAATATAATCGGATAATCCAATTACATAATAACAAACGGATATATCCGATTAAATTGTATATCCGATGAAAAATGTGATCGGTTTTTCAATCAAATTTCATCGGTAACTGCATTTCATCGGATAAATTTCATCGGATGTATCCATAATTTAATCGGAAAACGTACACTGAGAGAAATCTTTGAAAATTTATTTGTAGCATAATGTTTATTTCTCTGAAATAAATCTATTATTTAAATACGGCAAAATAAAATTTAATTTTTCAATAAGTATTACTTGTTACAAAAAGTTTTGTTTCCTTGAAATGACTTATTTAATTGCAAATATCAAGTTTCTTTAAATTTTTGTAAATTATATATTTTTTAAATAAATTAAATGTACCTAAATAATTATAATTTCTTTTCACAATTTTGTTTTATTCCAATTAATTGCAATGGGACTATAATATTCATTCCAACCATAAATATTCTCGATCATGAATATTCATTCTCATTGTCAGTCAATGACACAGAAAAGTACACATTTGTCTGTATATTGAAAGGCACGCGCCACTTTGGTCTGATGAGTAAGATATTCTATTGCAAATTTGCTTATTATGTTCTCACTACATCGCTGCGCGTGTGTAAATGTATTGTATCTAAAACTTTCTAAACACTATGGTCTATTTTTATAATGGATTTAAGCACGCTTAACATATGATACTACACACTGCACACTTAATATGGCAAATCAGATGCAGAAGGACAACGAACTGTTGCCGCGTCCTTTATCACTTGTCTGCCATATTGCATGATGCAACGTGAATCAACTAAAAGTAGATTTTGATCCAACGAAATTGCCATTTGTTTGGCATCTGAGACATAAATTTAATCTCCGGAAATGTCATATATCTGTAAAGATTAATTTTATTGTAACTAAAAATAGTATTGCTATAAAAAAAATTAAATTTGCCACAAGTAAATTTATTTCCTGAGCAGGAATTAAATAAAATTTTTAAAATAAGCAATTAATTAGATATATTTTACAGAAGTGTATATTCCGTTATTATTGTCAAATTTCTTTATAACCAATAAATACCGAAGAAAATATTACAAGTAACATTTGTTTCTCAATATTTCGACTTTTTTCTCTCAGTGTAATCGAAAAAATTAACCACCGGACACACTGTTTAATTGGTTCATCCGATGAAAATTTTTTTCAGTGTGCATGTATTGAATGGAAACGCACTACTGATACATTACTGTTCGAAACTGATCTCTCTTTCTGTGTTTACTTCCCCCTCCTTCCCCTCCCATCCTTTCTTCCTCCCACCCTCTCACTCTCCCCCTCCCTTCCTCTCTCCCTCTCTTCCTTCCCCCTCTCTCTCACGTTGAATTAAGAATTATTTAACAACCTATTCGATCGAGATAGCAGCTATACATAAAAAAAATTAAATTCGCAAAGATAACTTGGAGTTGATTATTGCACAGCAATAAACAGATATTTTTATAAAATAGAGATACTTTGCGAACATTATTATTGCACAATGATAAAGATATTTTTATATTTCTACAAAATCTCTATTTGTTGGATAGATAAAATCGCAACCACGTCACGATACCTTATCGTATTTTTCTTATAAAAGTGAACCGAAATAAAGAACACTGTTATACTAGAAATAAAATAATATTTAGCTGTGTGTATATAATACATACATCTTCGTTTTAAATCACGTAACAACGGTGATTGTATTACCACATTCATTTTATAGACGAAGATAAAAGTAGCTCTCAAATGTTTATTAAAAGTTTTTTAATAAAATATTGCAAAATTAATAATTTAGTAAAAGCTAAAAGCTAAAAGAATGTTGTGCTCGTCATATCCACCAGATAAGCGCTCATGTTAATGTAACCGTTTTTTTCTCACTCGGAACAAGAGGAACATCTAGAGAACTCTACGGTTAGTTAGGTGCTTAAATACTTACAATTAGTTACAGGTTTGGCCATGGGGACCGCACTCTGATATTATGAATGATTATGTCGAAACCATGTGCTACACGATTTCACAGTATTGTCACATAGTTTTTTTCCTTCCTAACATTAAAGTGTAAGACTTTAATTAAGCTCACATAGAGTATTCTATCACGTTCCGTTCCTTGTGAGACAGGTTTAAAAAGTGCTAAAAACGGGGTTTTTTTAACTATTTGGCCTCATTTTTCTCCAAAACGTGACGTGATAGAGCATTTTGGGTTTCAGATTCGTAATTTACGGAAAAAATTTTTTATGACAAAGTCAGTGCTGACTAGTGTAATACGTTAGACCAAACTTTATTATATTTACCTTATTTACCGTAATCCATACTATTTAAAGTACTAAGTTTGGAGCACAAGTGAGGAATCGGTTCGCGATAAAACGCATACTGAACATTGATAGTAAATAAGTGACGAACGTTGTTACGAGCAATTTATCGCGATTGAAAATATATTACTCCGCGCGGATATGCTGACACGAATGTATTTTGACTGGCCAGCTTTTGCAGATTACACTTCGCAATGAATGCCTACGTGCCGCGCGAAGAAATAACGGGTTGTCTCATAATCCTTCGCTTGCATCATAATTCGTGAATTGTGCCGATCGGTGACTTTGCACTGACGTTACTTCCTCTTATCAAATGCTCGGGGTTATTTGGTCAGACGCGTCGCCCGTCGAGATTTCGGACAGTCATAATTGGCGACGGCCGTTACGTGTAAACCCAATTAATCGCAATCACGAATGCATTCATTCCGCGCACCAATATTCGTAAACTTAATGAAGCAGAATTACGCAAACGGTTTGTGGCAGGAAGAGCCCGCGAGCTTGTTTAAATGGCCAATAATTCGCATCACTAATGAAGTATTATTAAAAATATGTATTCATTGTATAGTTATGCCAACATTTCGTGCAGTAATTAACCATTATAATACTAATTAATGACCAAAGTTATATATACATTGATTTCATAATAGTATGATAAAAAGTTAAAGAATGAAATTATATTAAACTTGTAAAAGATTGTAACAAAGTATACTCTTCTTTTCCCAATTAATTACTTAATATACTATACAACTTATATACGTCATCTATAATTC